GGGTCCTGGGGGGTTCTCCGGGGATCTAGGGGGAACTGAAGGGATCTGGGGGGTTCTGAGGGAGTTCGGGGAGTCTTGAGGGGATCCAGGGGGGCTGAGGGGACTTGGGACATCCTGAAGGGATTTATGAGGGGATTTAGCGGGCCCTAGAGGGTCCTCAGGGGATTTGGGGGGAACTGAGGGGATTTTAGGGGTCCTCAGTGGATCTGAGGGGTCCTGAAGGGACTTGGGGGATCCTGAGGGGATTTAGGGGGTCGTGAGGGGATTTAGCAGGTCCTGGGGGACATGGGGGGTTCCTGAGGGGATCTGGGGGGTTTGTGAGGGGATTTGGGGCATTCTGAGGCGACTTTGGAGGTTCTGAGGGGATTTGGGAGATCCTGAGGGGGTGAGAGGGGTCATGAGGGGACCTGGGGGATCGTGAGGGGGTGAAGGGGGTCCTGAGGGTATATGAGGGGACGTAAGGGGATTTGGGGCATTCTGAGGAGATCCAGGGGGTCCTGAGGGGATTTAGGGGGTTGTGAGGGGATCTGGAAGGTCCTGAGGGGACTTGGGGGGTTCTGAGGGGATCTGGAGGTTCCTGAGGGGAGTGACCCTTGGTGAGGTGTGGGGGGCACTTGGGGGGTTCTGTACTTTCTGAAGGGTTGGGGGGTGTTGGGGAGGGCTGGTCCTTGCTGAAGGGCTGGGGGTGTTTGGAGAGGGGGGATGACCCTTGGTGATGTACTGGGGGTGTTTGGGGGACTTTGGCCCTCACTAAAGGGGTGCTTGGGGTGTTTGGAGGGTTGAGGTTGCCCTTGTTGGGGGTATTTGGGGGGGGCTGATCCTCGCTGGGGAGTTGGGGGATGTTTGGGGGGGCTGATGCTTGGTGAGGGGTATTTGAGGGTGTCGTTCTTGCTTCGGACCTGGAGGGGTTTGAAGGGGTTTGATCTTCACTGGGGTGTGTGGTGTGCTGGGGGGGGTTGGAGTTGCCCTTGTTGGGAATGTCTGGGGGGGCTGGTCCTTGCTGAGGGGTTGGAGGGGGGATGTGGGGGAAGTGACCCTTGGGGAGGTGTTGGGAGGTGTTTGAGGGGTGGGTTTGACCTTTACTGGGGGTGCTTGAGGGGGCTTGATCCTCGCTGAGGAGTTGGTGGGTATCTGGGGGGGGCTTTCGCCCTTGCTGAGGCATTGGGGAGTGTTTGAGGGTGCCTTTAACAGCTGCTGAGGTGTTGGGGGCACGTTTATGGGGTTGACCCTTGCTGAGGATGTCTGGGGGCCTTGATCCTCACTGAGGGCCTGGGAATGTTTTGAGGGGAGGTTTTCACTGTTTCTAGGGGGCTGAGGTGGTTTTGGCGCTTTGATGTTTGCTGGGGTGTGTTTGAGGGGTCCTTTGACCCTTGTTGGGGTGTTGGGGGGTGCTTGATGGGGGGCTTTGACCATTGCTGAGGGGCAGGAGGTGTGTGAGGGGAGACCGATCCTTCCTGAGGGGCTGAGGGGTGTCTGATGGGAAGGATTTGACCCTTGCTGAGGGACTGGGCATGTCTGGGGGGCTTTGGCCCTGCTGAGGGCATTGGGGGTGTTTGAGCAGACCACTCTGTGGTGTGGGAGGTGTGTGGGGGCCTCTGGCCTTACTGAGGGCAGGGGGCACTCCAGGACCTCAGCTGGGGGTTGGGGACACTGCACAGAGTCCGTGACCCTGCTGGGGGACATGGGGGGCTCTGACCCTCTCAGGGGGTTTTTGCTGTGTGGGGGTGGCTCTGGAGCTTTGGGGGGCTGGTGGAGGAGCCCCAAACCTTGGTAGAGAGGGGGGAGGTTCTGGGGCTGTTTGTGCCATCGGGTGAGGGTGGGAGGCTCCTTTCTGGGGGGATGTGTCTGTGTGTGGAAATGTCTGAGGAGATGGAAAGGGCTCTGGGGGTTGTTTTTCTGGATCATTTTACTTGTGTTTACTGAGTGGGTGGTGCCAGACCCTCTCCATGTGGAATCTCATCCCATAGCATGTTCCCAGGGCATCTTTGGGGTTCTCATCCCGTGTCCTCACTGACGAGGCTGAACACTCTGTGACCTCAGGTCCAGTTACCACTCACGATGCTTCTCCTCCTTTTGTGCAGACTCTCTCCAGAGGGGGCTGAAGCACAGAATTCCCCACCATGGATTTCCAGCACCGCCCTGGAGGGAAGACGGGCAGCGGAGGCGTCGCCTCGGCCTCGGAGAGTAACCGGGACCGGCGGGAGCGGCTGCGGCAGCTGGCCCTGGAGACCATCGACATCAACAAGGTGGGGACACACCTGCCACCAGCCCAGGTTGCTCCAAGCCCCGTCCAACCTGGCCTTGGACACTCCCAGGGATGGGGCAGCCACAGTTTCTCTGGGCAACCTGTGCCAGGGTCTTCCCACCCTCACCGCCAAGAATTCCTTCCCAATCTCCCATCTCACCCTGCCCTCTGGCACTGGGAAGCCATTCCCCTTGTCCTGTCCCTTCATCCCTTGTCCCAAATCCCTCTCCAGCTCTCCTGGAGCCCCTTTAGGCCCTGGAAGGGGCTCCTAGGTCTCCCCAGAGCCTTCTCTTCTCTGAGTGGTGGATTGAGTTTAAATACTTGTGTCTCTGGGAATGTGGGGTTTGAATGAGGAACATTTGGGATGAGGCTGACAGGGAGGTGCCAGCACTTTGTATTCAAGTTATTTCCAGTCTCCTCAGGACCAGTTTGTACGTTGCCATTTCTGGGTGCAGTTGGGAACTCTGTCACTGGTGCACAGAGCTGCTGTTGAGTCTGTTTCCATCCTCCTAAAGCTCTGTTATGTTGATTTAAATTCTGAACTCAGTTCTGGAATCACAGAACCATAAAATAACTGGAGTTGGAAGGGACCCACGAGGATCATCCAGTCCAACCCCTGGCCCTGCACAGACACCCCAACAATCCCACCCTGTCCCTCAGAGTGTTGTCCAAACGCTCCTGGAGCTCTGGCAGCCTTGGGGCCGTGCCCACTGCCCTGGGGAGCCTGGGCAGCGCCTGACCAGTTCTTCCTGTGCAGAACTCTGCAGTATTTTAGTTATCCCGTTGCTTTGCCATGGATTTTCCTTGTAACTTGTCAATCATTCTCTTCCCAGGACCCCTATTTTATGAAAAATCACTTGGGCTCCTACGAGTGCAAGCTCTGCCTGACACTGCATAACAATGAGGTGAGCGCGCAGCTGCCTGGCCTGATCCCAGCAGCAGGAATTTTGGGATAACTACCTTCAGGTGCCAGAACCTGGGCTGTGACTGCTGAGAGATGAGGGGTGGGCAGAGCCTCATGTGTTAAACCTGACAGCTGAGCAGTTAAGAGCAGTGTGCTCTCAGTGAGAATCCTCTGTGCTGAGGGTGCAAACACCCTTGTCAGTGTGAGACACAGCCTCTCTGAGACAAGAATCTTTCAGTCCTGCCTTCATTTAACTTTCTTCTACCTTGGTTTTTATTTCAGGGGAGTTACTTAGCACATACACAGGGGAAGAAGCATCAGACCAATTTGTAAGTCATTCTCTACCATAACTTTGTTCATTACTGGAGCACTTTAAAATGATGATTGTGTTCATCTATGAACCTTTAACCCCATTAAAATGATGATTGTGTTCATCTGTCAACCCTTAACTTTGTTACACAACAGCACACAGGTCCTGAATGTTCTGTGATTCCTGCTGAGCAGCCTGGCACCAGCCAGGAGGTTCAGCCTGGATCTGCTCCAAAAATGAGGCTGAAAATCTCAATTTCAAGCTCAAAAGTTCAAACCCAGTTGTGGAATTTTTGAAGGAAAAGGGAGAAAGAGTTTTAAAAGCAAATTTTCTGAGTCTAGTAAAAAGAACTCTGCCTGCCAGAGCTCAGGGGGCATTTGGACAACGCTCTGAGGGACAGGGTGGGGTTGTTGGGGTGCCTGTGCAGGGCCAGGGGTTGGACTGGATGATCCCTGTGGCTCCCTTCCAACTTGGGATATTCCAGGATTCTGTGATCTGCATTTGTCAATACAGGTTGGGAGAAGTTTATAAGTTTTATTTTAAGGAATCCAGCTTACTTTGCTTTAGCTGTGGGGTTTGTTCTTTTTGATGTCAAGAATTAAGTCTTCTCAAATGCATTTGTGGAGTCAGGCACCAAGATCATCTCGGGGTGGGTAATTGAGTGACAGCCTTTGGGGAGGGGAAGGATGGATACACTGGGGAAGGGAAGTAGGTTTTCCAGGCATGATTCCTTTGGAAGCAAGTGCAAGTAATAACCCTTACATTTTGAAATTCCTCCCCAGGGCCCGGCGAGCTGCCAAGGAAGCCAAGGAAGCCCCTGCCCAACCTGCCCCAGAGAAGGTCAAAGTGGAAGTGAAGAAATTTGTGAAAATTGGGCGCCCAGGTTACAAAGGTGGGTCGGGGGGTGCCCGGGAGGTGCCCGTGGCAGCACCTGCAGTGCTGGGATGTGAATTGTTAATTAGCCTTTTTAGCAGCTCTGCCCATGAATGAGAGCTGGGCTCTCTCCTGGTATCCTTTATTGTTTGAATTGCCTGTATCCAACCTAAACTTCTGGGACAACTTGGGGCCATTCCCTCTCCTCCTGTCCCTTGTTCCCTGGCAGCAGAGCCCGACCCTCCTCAACTCCCCCCTCCTGTCAGGGGGTTGCAGAGCCAGAAGGTCCCCCCCGAGCCTCCTTTTCTCCAGGCTGAGCCCCCCCAGCTCCCTCAGCTGCTCCTGCTGCTCCAGCCCCTTCCCCAGCTCCGTTCCCTTCCCTGCACACGCTCCAGCCCCTCACTGTCCTTCTTGTCATGCGGCCCCCAAAGCTGGACACAGTAGCATCACAGGATCCCAGAATGGTTTGGTTTGGAAGGGACCTTAATGCCCATCCCATTCCAACCCCCTGTCATGGGCAGGGACACCTCCCACTAGTCCAGGTTGCTCCTTTGATCCAACCTGGCCTTGGACACTTCCAGGGATCCAGAGGCAGCCACAGCTGCTCTGGGCAACCTGTGCCAGGGCCTCCCCACCCTCACAGCTGTAGCTTTGGATAAAGAAAATGTGACATCTTGTTTGATAAATTGGAGAAAAATTTTGTAATGTTTTGTTGTTGGAAGCTTTATGTTTCCTGGGGCAGAATAATGCTGCTCCAACCCTGCTGTGGGATGTTCTCAGCTTTCCTATTTTCCTTACAGTGACCAAACAGAGAGACCCTGAAACAGGCCAGCAGAGCCTTCTCTTCCAGGTAAGGGCAGGGTGAAAATTCTCAGTGTCAGAGTTATCCAAGTAAAACTGCTGCTGAGTGTGAGCAGATCCTTGCTGGATCCGTGAAATAAATAATAATAATAAAAGTCCTTACCTTCCTAGTTTTTACAGCTGACTGTGTTGAGCAAATCCCTGAGCACAGCTGTCAGGCTGGGTAGTGGAAGGGGCAGGAATTGGAACGAGATGATCACAGAATCGGGGAATGGTTTGGGTTGGAAGGGGCTTTAAAGATCATCCAGTTCCAAGCCCTGTCATGGGCAGAGCCACCTTCCATTAGGTCAGGTTACTTCTGGCTCCAACCTGGCCTTGGACACTTCCAGGGATGGGGTGGCAATCAGTTCCCACTGAATGGCACTTACTAACCCAACCATGATTCTCTGATCATGGGCAGGGACACCTTTCACTATCCCAGGCTGCTCCAAGCTCCATCCAGTCTGGCCTTGGACACTTCCAGGGATGGGGCAGCCACAGCTTCTCTGGGTGACCTGTGCCAGACCCTCACAGGGAACAATTTCCTCTTAATTTCCCCTCTTTCCATTTGAGTTGTTCACAGTCCCTCCCAGCCCGAACCGTGCCGGAATCCCGACCTGTTCCCTGCGGTGTTTCTTGGGAACTGCTCTCCACATGCCCACCCCGAGGGCTGTGTTTGGTGCTGGGGGGTGCCAGGGGGATGTTTCTCACAGTGCCCTGTCCCCCCAGATCGATTACCCCGAGATTGCCGAGAGCATCATGCCCCGGCACCGGTTCATGTCGGCCTACGAGCAGCGCATCGAGCCCCCCGACCGGCGCTGGCAGTACCTGCTCATGGCAGCCGAGCCCTACGAGACCATCGCCTTCAAGGTAACCCTGGCACACTGCCCTCTTTGCCCACGTATTTCCAAGCGAATTTGCAGACGACACCAAGCTGGGGGGGAGTGTTGATCTGCTGGAGGGCAGGAGGGCTCTGCAGAGGGACCTGGACAGGCTGGAGAGATGGGAAGGATCCAACAGGACGAGGTTCAAGAAGGCCAAGTGCCAGGTCCTGCACTTTGGCCACAACCCCCTGCAGCCTCATGGGCTGGGGACAGAGTGGCTGGAGAGAAAGGGACCTGGTGGTGCTGGTGACAGCAGCTGGACGTGAGCCAGGTGGCCAAGAAGGCCAATGGCATCCTGGCCTGGATCAGGAATAGTGTGGGCAGCAGGAGCAGGGAAGTGATTCTGCCCCTGGACTCGGCCCTGGTGAGGAGCACTCCAATGCTGTGTCCAGCTCTGGGCCCCTCAGTTTGGGAAGGACATGGAGGGGATGGAGCAGTTCCAGAGAAGGGCAATGAGGCTGGGGAAGGGTCTGGAGCACAAGTGCTGTGAGGAGAGGCTGAGGGAGCTGGAGGGGCTCAGCCTGGAGAAGAGGAGGCTCAAGGGGGACCTTCTCACTCTCTACAGCTCCCTGACAGGAGGGGGGAGCCAGGGGGGAGTTGGTCTCCTCTCCCAGGAACCAGCAGTAGGACAAGAGGGCATGGTTTTAAGCTGTGCCAGGGGAGGTTTAGGTTGGACATCAGGAAGAAATTCTTCTCAGAGAGAGGGATCAGCCACTGGAAGGGGCTGCCCAGGGGGGGGTGGAGTCCTCGTCCCTGGAGGTGTTTAAGATGAGACTGGACGTGGCATCAGTGCCATGGTCTGGGTGACGAGGTGGTGTTGGGTTGTGGGTTGGACTCCATGATCTCAGAGGTCTTTTCCAACCTGGTTGATCCTGTGATTCTGTGGTTAATTCCCAGTGAACGCCCCGATTTCCGTTCCAACCTCCATGGGTTACTGGAGCAGGAAGGGGGTCAGGAATGACTGGAAGTCATTAAGCCCTAGTGAGAGTTACTGGAGGACTCTGGCCTGAAAACCAGACTGTGCTGAGCTCTGGGGAGCTGTGAATTCCCAGTGTCTGGCACAGGCAGGAGCCTCCTCAGCCCCTGTGCAGATGTTAAGGGAGGGTTTTTTGTTTTCAGTTGTCCTTGACCGATAGGGAAGTAACTTAATTCTTTCCTGCCCCCACCTCTATCTAACAACAGAGCAGCTCACCAAGGCCTGGAATAACTGTGCTTATCTCCCAGGCTCTGGGGCTAAAAAGGGCCTTTGAACTAATCTGGGGTTGCTAAGAATAACTCTGTGTTCTCTTTTGGTGCAGGTGCCAAGCAGGGAGATCGACAAAGCAGAAGGGAAGTTTTGGACCCACTGGAACAGGGAAACCAAACAGGTAACTGGGACTGTCTGTGGTGAGGGTTAGGGAGGGCAGAGAGCAGGGCAGTGACATCAGTGCTGTCCCTGCTGGTCTGATGGTGAGATCTTCATTCCCTCAGTGCTGTGCACTGAGAGCTCCTGACAGACAGGTCTGCCCGTGTGTGATCTGGGTGAGGATTTGCCCAGGGAGGTTGTTGTCGGCAGCAGCAGCAGGATGGGGCAGGAATGTCTGGAGAAAAGGAGGCTCAGGGGGGACCTTCTGGCTCTGCAACTCCCTGACAGGAGGGGGGAGCTGGGGGGGGTCGGGCTCTGCTCCCAGGGAACAAGGGACAGGATGAGAGGGAACAGCCCCAAGTTGTGCCAGGGGAGGTTTAAATTGGATATTGGGAAAAGTTTCTTCATGCAAAGGGTTGTCAGGCACTGGAAGGGGCTGCCCAGGGCAGTGGTGGAATCACCATCCCTGGGAGTGTTCAAACAACATGTGGATGTGGCCCTTGGGGACATGGCTCTCAGGGACGGGGTGGGTTGTTGGGGTGTGTGTGCAGGGCCAGGGGTTGGACTGGACGGTCCCCGTGGATCCCTTCCAGCTCTGGACATTCCAGGATTCTACAATTCCACGATTAATTGTTCCCTTCTCTTTGCTTCCCTCCCCTCCCCAGTTCTTCCTCCAGTTCCACTTCAAGATGGAGAAGCCCCCGGCTCCCCCCAACCTGCCCCCGGGCCCCCCGACGGTGAAGCGGCCGCCGCCCCCTCCCCTGATGAATGGGCTGCCCCCCCGGCCCCCCCTGCCCGACTCCATGCCCCCCCCTCCCCCTGGGGGCATGACCCTGCCCCCCATGCCCCCCCCCGGGCCCGGGCCCCCCCCCCCCCCCCCCCCCCCCCCCCCCCCCCCCCCCCCCCCCCCCCCCCC